ACCATCCTACATAGATACTGTTTTGATAACGGTATGATAATATGGTAACGATAATGAGATGATGAAAATGATAATGTTAATAAGGATAATATTGATGATGATGATGATAATAATAACAAAGATGATGATATAATAATAATAATAATAATAATAATAATAATAATAATAATAATAATAATAATAATAATAATAATAATAATAATAATAATAATAATAAAATAATAATGAATAAAAATGAAAACTGGTAATGATAATGAAATATTAATGATGATAATGACAATAATAATAAGGATAATAATAACAATGATTACAATAGTGACAATTTTAGAAGGTATAATGATAAAAAACTATTAATGAAAAATATCATGATTATAATAATGGTGATCATAATAATGACAATAATGCTAAAGTATTGAGATAATTAAATAAATGAGAATGATGATGGTAATAGCACCAGTGTTGATGGGAATGCTGATGGCGGTAATGATGATACTGATGATGAAGATAATACTGCTTTAAAGGTATTATTACTACTGCTACTGCTGCTGCTGCTATTAAAATAGACAGCAAAAACAATAATGATTACAGTAATGACAATAGCAATGATAGTATTAATAGTAACAGATGATTGTAAAATGATAATGAACGATAATAATAGAAATATGAACGATATTAATAGTAATGATAAAATTATTTAATAAATAGAAATAAGAAAAAAGGATAATGATGGTAATGATAATAATAATTATAACGATAATAATGATGATAATGATAATAAAAATAATGATAAAAGGATAATGATGATGATGATGATAATAACAGTAATAATAATAATAATAATAATGATAATAATAGCAATAATAGGCATAAAAATAATGATAATGATAACTATAATGATAATAATAAAAATAACAATAACAATAATAATAAGATTATAACTAATTACACTGATAATAATAATAATAATGATAATTATTATAATTACAATAATGGTAATTACAGTTATAATGATAATAATAATAACAATTATGATAATGATAATGAAAATAAGGATAGTGATAGTAGTACTAGTAGCAGTAGTAGTGATAATAATAATAATAATAATAATAATAATAATAATAGCAATGATAATTAGAAGTACTCGGAGAGCTATACTTCCGCCATGACGAAAGCGTCAGTGATGCATCTAAGTTGAGCTAAGACACATCTCTGGTAAAGAAAAAGTTAAAACCTGTTCATATTTTTTTTAGTCATCATGCACACTAACTAACTAACCAACTGTACCATTAACATAACCTCCTTGGTAGAGATAAAAAAAAGTTCATAATTATATGAGTTACCCGCGCAGGATGCAGATCATGATCCGAATCACCACCAAAATTTTATTATTTCCAAGATGGACGTGAAAAAATCGTGAAAATCTGTTGATAACTTATTGAGTTATCCTGCTAATCAACGAACGAACGGACGAACTAGCCAAAATTATTACCTCAACAGAGGTGATACTGATAATAACAATAAAGATGATGCTAATTCATGTAGGGAGTAATTTATAGAAAAAGAGTATCAAATTTATGATAGTAAACAAATGTTACATATTCAGTAAAGAAACTATATTATACATTATATCTATGTTTCTGCTTATCCCTAGGATCTACGCTACAAATGTGTAACGGCCAGCACCTGTGAAGCGATGTCTGGAATCGTCGAATGATGGAGTTGCCAGAATCAGACATTTCAGCGCCTGTCTGTATACACTGCGACGGTATGCTGCCTTTGATACGCAGAAAATGCTACTCCAAGTTCATTTGAAAAACTTGATTTTTAGCCCTGCAATGACACAGAGAGTCTGTTTTCGAGGCCCAGCGCACTCAAAGTACTGGATCAGTGGTTTAAAACTTTCTTAGGCTCACAACTCATTAAATCTTCATAACATCTGCAATATCAGTTTAAGAAAAGGGTAATTCAGGTACTTGAAATTGGTCATGGCTTCATGTTATATTCTTCTCTTACAGGAACATAGTCATTATGTAAATACATGAATATGAGCAATCTTGCAAGCGAGCGAGCGAGAGAGCGAGAGAGAGAGAGAGAGAGAGAGAGAGAGAGAGAGAGAGAGAGAGAGAGAGAGAGAGAGAGAGAGAGAGAGAGAGAGAGAGAGAGAGAGAGAGAGAAGAGAGAGAGAGAGAGAGAGAGAGAGAGAGAGAGAGAGAGAGAGAGAGAGAGAGGCAAGAAAGAGTTAGGGAGGGAGGCAGGGAAGCTATGACGGCTTTGTAACTGTCGTTGGCCTCGGATAACTCGACAAACCAGATCTCGTTCTGGTGAGCCCCTCATACTTTCTTACTTTCAGCATGTCAGATCTCTTTCAGGCCACAGTCGACAGTGCTAAGTAATTACAACCTCCCCCCCCCCACACACCAGTGGTCTTGTAGGATCTGTAGGGCATGCTTTCTTTCTGGTTTCTTATATGTCTTTGAACTATATTTCTGTGCCTCAATTT